TTGAGCATTGTTTTGTATTCACTGTTGAAGCGCTGATTTCGCCTCCAGCAATTGTTTACGTTATTTATTGCGATTGTCTTCAGGAAGTGATTCTGCAAACTTTCAATACACTTAACAACTAATATTTGAGAGACTACGAATTTTCCTCTCTTTTGGGCAAATAAATGTTATCAAATAAATTTACTCACTTTCATCACAATGCGCTTCTGAATATCAGCAGGACAATTTTTTAATTCTCAGAACTTGCCGCAAAAAAAGCTTCGACGCAACACCAAATGCACTGAGCTTTTTCGCCATATTTTTTTTTTTTGTAAAAAGCAAAGGACTTCCAGTGAAAATTTTCTAGCTAAACGGAAAAATGCAATTATCGCAATGTTGAATGGTTGAGAAAGTGGTTGGGAAGTTGAGACTCATTAAAATTAAAATAAGCTAGAGGAAATTAATAATTTTTCACAGCGCGCTGGTAGAAATTTTCTGTTGTACAATTTTCTCCTCTCCTTTCTCGTGCTGAATTTTTATGCAAATTGCGAACAATTTGAAAATACAATTTTCTCCTAATATGAAGGGATTCCAATTTAAATACAATGAATTTGTTTCCTCCGTCTTTGCGGCAATTTCACATTTAAATGATTGTATGGGAGAAATTTTCACAATTTATACCATCGCGCGATGAAGGGCCCAAATTGGCCACTCTCTGGCGGGGGTGAGGGTTTGGGGGAGGAAGTGGTAATTGAAAAATCGTTTGAATTGTATTAATTGGTGGAGAAATGATAAATTATCTCTACTTATTTTAATACTTTACCATCAAACAGACTTTTCCCCCCTGGCGTTATACGCACAACTGTGAGTGATGCAGGGCGATTAGGCGTGGAAAATATTCATTTTGCCGCGTGTCTGTGATGAAAAATTAAGACACGTCAAATGAATCTTCATCATTTCCCACCTTTTGGCAAGTGTCTTTTGTTGTTACACACTCCTTGCGACAGCGTGATGGAGAAAGAGCAGCAGCACAGTCACTTGTGACACAAAGAAAAGTACATAAATGTTTGCAATAAACAATAATAAGGGTAAATAATGGCAAAACGGGTAAAATATAACCCCCGGAAATACAACAATATACAGTACACTTGTAACGAATCAAAATCATCGAGGAGATTCTCCAACTTTGTCGATGCTGGAGAGAAAGCTTCATGAACCGTAAACCATTGAGCTTTGCCAGTGCTTTGTGGCTGTGAAAGGAATCCCTGTGGATGCTCCATCACGTATATCGACAAATTGCAGACAATATGGAGCAATGTGAAAAGTATAGCGTCAAAATTCATTCTGCTCCCCAATAAATAGACATAAATTATGGACCAGACAGTGTTTTTCCCAGGAAATTCAAGTGGAAATATGATATCTTTACACACATCACAATAAATCAGACACTTTAATTCACTATAGTTTGAAGTCTTCCAATTCTCTAATGGGCTAAACTCACCGAACAATTACAAATACACCGGTGAGAGACAAGGGATGGTCTTTAATGCTGGGGAACTCCTTAAGATTGTCATAAAATGAACACAGGGAGAATCCATAATACTAAAATTGGGCGGTGCAAATTGTGATGTGTCTACACATTTTTATTGTTGTTCCGTTGATGCTCATTCGCCCAAAATTCACTGAATTTTCATCACAGTGATTTTTGGGGAGTGCACTGGACCATTATCTCCATGCTATGTATAACGATGATTATTACCCTGGAGAAAGAATACAATTTCGCCCCCGTGGCGCTCGAGGCGGGCGGGCGAGAGCATAATAAAACAGCAAGATTATAGCGAAACCCATAAAGAAGCAGCAAATTTATTGTTTTTTATACATTACGAAACAAAATGTACAAAAGGAGTGGACTCTTCTCTTGCACATAATGCGTTATACTTTTATTATTTATACTATAAAAAAAAGGGGGAAGAGAAATACGACGAGAGATAGAGAGCCGAAGCTCTAAAGTAAGAATACGCGAAAGTGTTTCATGGGTAAACTCAATAATGGCTGTAACACACACTTTTACCCCATAAATGAACTTAAGCAATCAAGAAAGCAGCTTTCCACCACCCCAAAAGCACAGCGCAATCGTTAATTCTCAGCTCCATTGCCGAGTGTTGCAATAGTGTTGCCCATCCAGAGTCCCTCCAACCCCTTTCCCTTTCCACCCCTTGCTTGTCTCATTAAATTGCACCTCAAATAATTGCAGCGATATTTTTGGTTGATTGAATAAAACTGTTGATTTTTCCACTATGAAAAGCTATTCAGCTCACGTGCGATTTCATGATTCTGACAAAGTCTATTGTTGTGTTTAAATTTTTATCCAATTTATTGGCACTTTGAGAGACAATTCCTTTTAAAATGTCACCACAAATTAATTGGTCTGCATGTAATACTTCTCTGCACATCATTTTTTCATTTGCATGCACTGGAATTATTGACAAAAACGCCTTTTTGTCGAATCATTTTTAAATGGTTTGCCTGAATGATGGGCATTAAAGATACTTTCTATCGCTGAATTACATCCAGACCGTCAATAAAAGTGCGAATATCGCTTAAGTGGAAGGAAAAGTCTTGATCCTAATAGGTAAAACTTTGTTTACACAGAGTTATAACAATAACCGTAATTATTTAGTGTACTTTTGCATCTTCATAAGGCAATTTTTAATTTTCCCTCCCCCTTGTTTATGAAGCCAAGAGAGGCGAAAGAAAGCCGATCGTGTGAAAGCTCTCAACACGGAGCTTTTCGAGAATTGTGAGAAATATTGTATAGAAAATTAAAGCAAGTGCATTTTCTATCATTCTTCCTGTTATCGTGTTTTCTGGTTTTCTCTCACCATCAGCCTTTTGTATCATTGATCACTCTTGGCTGCGGATGCAGAATTGCCACCTCTGAAGCCACACTCATTTTGAAATATTCAATTGGCAGCATCCACTCAAGCAGTGTTATTTATTTATCTATAAGCACATGCCAACCGCCAAACAGAACCGAATCCTTGTCGAACTTTAATGTCTTGCAAAACAGGGAATGCATTTCGGCAGTTCATCCGTGAATAGATGGTTTTACGAGAGTATTAGAAAAGAAAGACAACAAGCCAGAGATAAAGTGTGTTGTTGCACGGTGGTGGAATTTAAATTGAAGTGACAAGACAGTTCCGGGTGAACATGCCAGAATGTCAGGGTGGAGCATGAGTTTTGGGTGGTAATTTACTGCAGATATGGCGGTTCCTTAACACTGCTAAACGCACATCGGAGATTTCTTCTTTCTTCTTTTTTCGCCATATCAAACGACGCGAGGGTGGAAAATAAATGGATGCTCGAGAGCAAAAGCAAACGTATAAATAAGGAGGTTCATAAATATTTTTTCCCGTCTCCCGTGCGACGTCATCTCGCGTCTCGGGTGTGACGGGAAATGATGCTGCGGATGGGGATGAAGCGAGTGGTGCTCTGGAGACGCATCGCATCCCGGATATAAATTCATAAACGAGATTTGTCCTAGACAAGTAAATCTCCGCCAAGATTCCTTCTCAAGTTCACCGTGTGTTTTCTGACTCTCACACACACTCACGGCGCACTTGAGCCTCGGCTCAGCGGGACGCGGTGGGTGAAGATTGAGAATTTATAAATAATTTATATTTATCATCCATACCTGAGTGGCGCGGAATAATGCATCGAGCGTCTTAAGCGCAAATTCTCTGAGCATCGCGCTCTGCAGGATACACATCGTGATTAAGATAATGATGGCAGGAGAGTACAATGGGGTGTGTTTTGATATCCCATATAAAGAGCACAACTTTCTTGCTCAACACTCAGCGTCGTTTCTCTTTCAATCAACCCAAACTTCTCTCAGGGATGAATTTGAAAGTTTACATCATGAGCACGACAGTTTCAATGAAAAGCTCTGCACAAAGTGTGTGGGTTGAAACATTCACTGTTTACTCTCAATTAATATTTGTATTTATTTGGCTTCCTTCTCTCGTCTAATTAAGCCATTTATTATTCGTACTTCTTCCATGTAATTCCCAGTTCTCAAGTGTACGTGGAAAACCCTCTGATGGGATGGGAGAATTCAATCAATTTCCCACCGGTGGCATGACGAAGGGAAGTCGTAGAAAATGAAATTTCAAAAATAGGAAAATATTTTCATCACTTGCATTTGCCCGGAAAAACCACTCACGGAAGTGCAGAATTTACTGTGAATAAAACCTCACACAGTCACTTAATTAAAACTATTTCAGACGATTGCTGAGAGGCCTTTAAATGCAGAACAAGGGGGAGATAATATGACTCAAATCTGTACACCACTTCCTGACACATAATTGATACATAATTCATGATCTGTTCAAGCCAGGAAGTTGAAGTTAACACTTTGAAGCTAAAACCGCAGAAAAAACTAAACAAAAATATATTTTTCTAGGCTGAAATTAGATTTTTAAAGGTTATGACTGTCTTTTAAGCTTTTTCTAAGCCAAAATAAAGTTTTTTTCGATCAAAAATGCTCAAAAATGCTCAAAAAGGAAATATTTCCAGTTAAAATACAAATTTGATGATTTTGAGGGTTATTTAATCACCGAAATCTGTTTTTATTCAATCACATAACCTAAAAAGGAATAAAATTGATTTTTCTAAGCAAAATTAATTGAGAAATGCCTCAATTTGTTGAAACAGAAACTTGCTGTGCAAATATCCTGAATATTTTACCACTTTTAATTCCAAACCATTTCGATGGAGAAAAAGGAAGCAGTTTGCCGCTAAAATCTCGCAATTCGAATAGTTAAATGCCCCTCGATCCATAAAGTACTTCACTGAATCACTCCACTGAGATAGAGAGAGCTTTTCATCCCGGAGAAAGCTCCGAGAAATACATATGGAGCATCACTCTTGCTCAATTAAACTCCAATTTGCACCACGTTTTGTATGAAGACATCATAATTATTTCCACGTTAATCCAACTCCTTTCGTTGCACTTTTTGCAGGCTGGCGCCACTTGTTCCTCTCCAGTGTGTTCGTCGGGACGGCGATGCTGTGCAAGGAGCAGGGCATCACGGTGACCGGCGTCTGTGCAATCTACGAGATATTCGTGGCGCAAAAGGTGAGCGAAATATGTGCATGATCAAGAGCAATTTCATCATTTCAGACAAGGCGATGATTTATTGAAAAGTTGCGAGAGTGGAAATATTCAATCGATTGCTAATTACGGAGTGTATTGTTTGGATTTATTCATCATTTTGGTTTATATTTAATTCTTCTGCACCACCGTAAATTCCGGTGAGATTATTTTGTCATTTGGTGTTGGATTTAGTTGCAGTGTTTTAATGACGCCGCGCTGGATTAATGGTTGGAATATTTTATAGACCCCATTTTGGGCATAAATTAGTGACACAAATTTTTTATATAAATTTCCTCTTTAATTGCCTTGCACGACAGGAAAATTGAATTCATATCAAGATTTATGTCCTTTAAACTATAACATCACTCAATTACTTAAAAAGCAACATTCTGACTCTCCTTTGAGCACGTAAGGAGTGAAATTGCAGGAATAAATCACACTGCAGAGACAATTTCCGGGGCATTTTTGAAGGGGGGTGAAATAGAGCAAATGACAAGTTGTGAAGTGGTTAACAATAAAGTAGCAAGAAAATGTCTCTCTCTCTCACACTCCAGAAGTCTAACAACAGTGTGAGCAGCATCGCATTTTGCCGATTGTGCCATCGGGAAAGGATAGAGACGGACACTCAATTGTGTGATACATAGCGAACGGGGGTGGTAATTGAATTATCCAAGTGTTTTATGACTCAATTGAATTGTCGGATACGAATTGTTTTATTTATTTATCCCCCAAACCCCCGCCCATGTCGCTCTCCAAATGTAGCAGTTAGCAATTTAGCAAGCACTATAGTGAGTGCGGAGATCCTCAACACGATTTGCAATTGCACTCTCTCTCTCGCTGAGCCATTTCACGCGCTCACGGGCCAAATTGCAAATTGTTTCCAGCCCTGGCACTAAATGATGTGTTAACATTAAATATTTAATTTGACATCATTTGGGGGCGGTGCTGCCTCTTGAGAATAAATCACTATATTTGTAGATTGCACTTAATTACGCCCGGATTCTATCCAAACACCGCCACCGGGTCGATTCCTCCTCCGCTTCACCTAATTGAAAATATATTTATCGTACCTGAGGCCATGAATGCGATGATTGTATCGGGCGGTAAATAGAGCAAATACAGTGCACATCTTTGCAGTGGGGCAAAAACACGGCGGGGTTAATTTCGCCCCAAAACTCACACCGTGCCTTCGACTTCCTTGCGATGAAGTGTGAAAAGGTGCTTAATATATAGTATATCGGGGAATAAATTCCATGCCAAGTGAAAGTCTCAATCAGCCCCAAAGCTCACCTCCCATCTATATATGGTTTATATGCACAAAAGTGTGGAACAATTCTCACGAAGCGATTCGAGGAAATTCAATAAATTACATAAATAGCATTGGTGGAAAATGAGAAGAAAGTTTGTGTAGTGTTTGAACTTCTGTGGGAGGTGAATTTGCTAATTTTCCCTCATTCTCACACTGTAAAACTGTCAATTTAAATGAAGACCAACTTTTTCTCACCCCTCAAATGCTCTCACACATCACACTTTTCACTCTATGTCTTTCCTCTTCGTCCCGCATATTCTTTTCACGAACTTGCAATTCGCATTGAAAAGTTATGACTTCGTAAACTGAAGACTTACAAATAGTTTGCCAGAAGATTTTTATCAATTATTCCCGGATTTTCTGATAGATTTGAAAGATTTCCGTGCAGGAAGATTCAATTGAAATAAAAACTGTAATTGATAAAATTCATTAAATACGTATAATCAAGTCAATCACTTTCCGTTCAGTGTTTGTAATATCTTAATGGAAAAGTGAACAGAGGCAAATTAAAATGATGTATTTTTGAATATTCATTTCGGGGAAAATAAACCAAAGCAGCATAATAAACGGTAAAGTGAAATTTCATTAGTATTGCAATTTCCGGGAAAATGTGAAAAACTGATAGACGTGGTAATAATGTAAAACTGACGGTGCTTTTTGAACTGGAAGACGAACCAGAGGAGTTGATGAGAATTTATTTTGTGTGTGTTTTGCATATTTTGCTCCATTTAATATGTTCAAGGGGGAAATAATACAGCCAGAAGTGATGTACAGCTCAGCGGAAGTCTTGAAAAGTGTTTAAAAATTAGCAATATTCCTTTTCTGAGTCCTTCCTGACAAATTATCCAATTTTGTTTAGATTTTGAACGCTGTAAATTGTATTTAAGTCAAACATAACCTCAAAAAGAGTCATTTGGACTTGGAAAATGCTCGTTTAGATCACTTTCTGCACGATGTTGACTGTGAATCAGCAATCTTGATCAGCATAAGAGATGTTTTTGTGATCTAGAAAGCTTCGAAACGGATTTTTCAGTAATATTTTGAGGTTATGTTTGGAAAATATGTTCAAAATAGCGTTTTTTAATGGGTTCATGCAGAAATATCGAATGAAAACTTAAGAGATTCACTTTAATTTGAGAAACAAAGCAAATTTGGAAGTGATATACAGTTTTTAGGCATATTATCTCCCCCTTGAATAGAGCCTCATTTGTGAATTTAATTAAATTCAACACTGCAAATATAATAAATTAAATCATTAAATTTCACCACTTGACAAGCAAATGGCAAAAAAATAAATACACGAAACGTTTTTCTTCACATGACACTTTTCGCCCCTTTTATCATGTGTGCACGCTCCAAAATGTGCATCAACATAATGATACGATACGGCGTATATAAGGTGAATTGAATGAGTTTCTCCGGCATTTTCCAAAGAGTCCGACAAAAATGCTGGTGAATAGAGAGCACCGAAACATGGTTGGGTGAAAGGAAGCGCTATGAATGGAAATAGTTGAAATCCTTTGTATTTTGTAGATCCGGGGTGGCTAACTTCCGTTTTTATTATGTGTACACCACCCCCTGGCCGCCCTATCTATGGCAAATGTGTGCGGGCGCCAATTACGTCCCTCCCTGGCGCCCCTTTCCGTCCCCCGCGTGCCTCCTCTGCGCCCCATTACAAGGCGAGTGCTCACATTTTTAATGAATTTTCCCCACAATGAGGAAGACGCATACAGAGGGAAATTCCACTCTTATTAATTTAAAATGCATTCGAGGCGGTAAATAGTGGTGTAGTGGGGGATGAAAAGAGGGAAGGGGACGATTGAGGTGAAAAGCATCTGCTAACTCAAAGTGTGTCTGCACAATATAATTATAGAAGAATTTTTCCTCCATCTTTCTAATTTGCAGATACGCCTCAGTGATTTACAGCAACTGTGCCGAGCAATTTTGGGTGGAAAAAGTGTCTCTCTGCCATCTGGATCCTGGCCCAATGAGGCATCCAAGCGTCTGGCTGTGCTGTGCCTAAGCACAATTGGTCTCCTATTTGTCCGTCTCCAGATAATGGGATCTCAATTGCCAGTTTTTACCAGGTGAGCGAATTGTCTTTTCTTCTTCTTTGCTTTTGCCAGATGGACAGTTTTGGATATTTTCTTTTTTAATTCAGAGCCCTTTTCAATTACAATCCACCCCCAGACTGAACATTTCCCCAGTAAACACTTTAAGTCCATTATGTATTCAATTTATTATTGTCTACTAAACACACTTCGGCATCTGAGAAAATAAGGCGATTTAGATGATAAGATTGTGGGGAGTTTGGCCAAGAGAAATGGCCTGTTTCACCCTCAACAACCCCATCGAGGCCACAAACATATGCATAATACGGCCCCGGATCATGTGAAAAGGGGGCGGAATGTGCGGAAATCGATATATTCATTCAACTGTCTGCCGGACCATGTGAATGAAAGGGGGGAAAAAGTGTAATATTTTATCATTGTGCGTAACATAAATTCCATTCTGCACGCATCAACTTGATGATTTCCCACCTCCTTGGCGCGGTATGCTCTATCTCGAGTTTGCACACAAGAAAACACACCATAACACACTCCACAGCGCAATAAAGGTGCGTGGGTTTGGGTGTCTTTAAAGATCCCGTGATGCGTGACATGATGATTGATTATTAACAATCCCGCCTCCGCATGACAGTTCCTGTTGACGGTCGGAAGTTTGACATGCATCACAATAATCACTTTATGCACTCGTTCTCTGGCAGATCCCTGGAAAATCCATTCTCCGCACCGCATTAAGCCCAACAATACGAGCAGATTTAACACTTTGCTTCACACATTCTTCGACCCCCGCGCAGATAAAATCGCGGAGAACCGCCAGGGACAATGGAAATCGACGATGGGTTGTGCATAAATTTCACCCCAAAATGTTTATAGTTAACTCTTAAATCGTTTATCTTTTAACTCGATAAAAGGGATATATATATTTACATTGCTTGCCGAATCGAGAAATACATTTAATCAATTACCATCTTCATTACTTAGTCTCTCTCTCTGTCTCACTAAGACAACCGGTCTCAATTTCCCCATCGCAACTCAATTACCGCCCGGTTTGTATTGAACCCAAGAAATACACCGTATAATATTTGGCCTCTGGATGATCATCTTGAATTGGAGAGTGGCAAAGAAAGCACACACTTTCCACTTTGGAATTGTGATTAAATCGAGAATGGGATTCAAACAATCAAGAGTCAGATAATTGGATTACACTATTTTTCCAAAAAGGGTAATTCGGCCCCAAATTGAAAAGATATATATTTCTGGCTGTTCTGAAAATGTAATTAAAAGTTTTTGAGCTTCTAAAATAGCAAAAATGTGTATATTTCATCCTCCAGCCAAAGTGGGTGGCAAAAAGTTGTGCAAAAACATTGGAGATGTGATGATTCTCGCATCATTTTCCTATCAAATTGACGGGCTTTTGAGGCACACATCCTTGGCATAATCAATGCCAAGGGTGGTGGAGAAATGAAGAAATCCTCACACGAGATAAATGATATACGGTGGGAATGACGTCATGTGCGAAACTACACAAAACCCGGAGTTTCTCCCATTTTCACACCCATATTATTTTCATTTCCCTCCACAAATTTCGCCACTAAAATCCAGCACACCTCCGCTCTCTCTCGGTGTCTTTTTTGCAACCGTCGCAGCCCTAAATCATAATTTAACTGAGGGTGTCTTTACATGACAGTGGAGAAGACATGGAGCAGACAATCGAGAGCAGAGCGATAATGGTGTGTGTCGTGTATTTTATGTTTTTGTCTTGTGCTCATGCCTGAGCTTTTAAGTGAAACGCGAAGCCGAGGGTGTCGCCATAACTCTCTGGCAAGGGTGGAAAGTTTTTGATGCGTTGATGATGCTTTTCGTGTGTTTTTCTCGCGCCCCGCCAGAAATGTGAAATTGAACATTGCGGCTAGAATTCTTAAGTGCTTTGCGCTCGGACGACTTTTTCCCCAAATGACACACTTTTTTCTTCTTATATCGTCCGGAAAGAGGAGAATTTACTGCTCCTCATGAGAAGCTGTGCTAAAAATTGAGAGAAATACATTTTGAACATTAATATTAACCCTGTTTGATCAGTAAAAAATTCAGAATTGCCGATAAAGCACGAACATTTTGTTATCAACCACAGTTTTTTCTTTGTGAGAGTGAGGAAAAGCCAGTAATTTGTTGTTTCAGTAAATATGCTAAAACTAAAATTAGCATTTGAAATTTAATAAAAACATCAAGTGATGAATAAACGAGGCGCAAAGAGAAATTGAAGCGACATAGAGATGAAGTATTTAAAAAGTATTTTTCAAAAAATCACAACTCCAACCGTCCGACAAACACTCTCAGCCGGCGGCAGGATGTGAAAGCGGAAACGGAGAAGAATTGCGGAGGACGAGAGCGGAAGGGAGGAATGCAGAGAGAGCGCTGATGGCTGGAATGCTGGCGAGGCGCGGAGGTGAAAAGGAGCAACGTGGCGCTCTGGTCAATGTCTATCGGACGTGCGGAGGGTGTGTGGAAGCAAATGGGGGGATGATGGAGAGACGGTGGCGTGGAAAAAATTTGATGGATTGTGATTTTTTGCGGAAGGAGCGACGGAGGAGCATTTTGGCACGGTGGTTTGAGCTTCAACCCCAGAAATTTTGGTGATTTGTCAGCTGATGATGTGGTCGCTGTAGCGTAATGAATTCCATTTGTACTTACCCTCTGGCTAATTGCCAAAAATTTCAACTATGTCAATTTCAATCAAATGACGTGCGCCAGGATTTTCTCCTCCCTTTCGCCCCCCTTTCGCCCCCCTCGAAGAGGGTGGCGCTGACAAGTACACACACTCGCCAGGAAGCACAGCTCAGGAGGCACATTTCCGTCAATGCGATGATGGCACACAAAAATTCCATCCGCATAGAATACAAAGAGAGGGCCAAAGTTTTCTCACGCAAAAAACTTTCCTCTTTGAAATATTTATGTTGAATTTACATCTCATCGGGAAGGGAGTAAATTTATACCGCAACTTTTATCCTTCAGAAGCTTGAGAAGCTTGAAAAGCAGAGAGAGAGAAAGGGAAGTTCTTCCCTCATACATATTATCGCGAACTTGGGAAATTTCGTAAATATTTCCACCGCCAGACACAAACTCACCCCTCACTTGCAGCCACCCCATCCCCCAAAAAGCAGTTTTTGGACAATCACTGAATTATTTTCCATGAGAATTTCCACGACTTTTGCACGCCTCTGCAGATGAACTCTCGCAACTTCAAATCTTGTTTTCGGTGCACCCAAGATTTTAAGAAGTGAAACTCTTATGAGAAGTAATCTGAACTCTCACAGCACAGCTGCTGAATAATTTCCACATGCTTTTATGCATTTCGTTGCTGATGAGACTCTGGATGCTATCGCGCTGACAACAGCTGTGCTTCCTCGGCGGATTGATAGGCAAGGAGACTTGTGAATGTTACGTTTTGGTGAATTTAGTCAAGTTTATGGAGTTTTCGGATATCGCGTTGTTATTAACTTGTGCCGAAAGGAAGTTTTTGCATAGGATTTTCAATGGGGTGGAAAAAAAGGCCATCATTCTCGCACTGTGATGCATTTTGAAGTGAAATAGCAACAGTCAATTAGCATCTAAATGACATATTTGCTATTGTGTCTCTGACACACCTCACAATTTCAATTAAAGCGCCATAAGTCATTCATATGGAGTGCATTTTGCACAAACACGTTTGATATGTCTCATTTCCAGGGAGAAATTTGATTATTGCAGATTTTGGGCACTCGCTCAACGTCCCTTTGTTGTCGAAACAAGACTCTATTGACGTCCCAGTTGGAGTCAAAACTGCGCCGATATCCCTGGCTGATGAATTTATTCATTGTTCAGCAGTTGTGGCGGCTGAAATAGTAGCGAAAATACAGTGTCACCGGCGTCGTGAATGGATGAGATTTATATTGTTGCCGCGTCGCGGCGTAAGCGATTTGGACTTGATTAATTATATAATGTGCGAGATATCCCCAGTCCATGTTCCGCCGAGAGAGTTCCGCGATGATGTCGCGTCTCTGTGACTGTCAATTTGTCGCCAGCGCAGCCCCTCCGGATATTGCGTGTGTGTTGTCCGCGTCATAGGAAATTACATACACATATATTGATTATAGATTGGTTCGTTGGACCAACGACCACTAAATAAACACATATATTCCGGATTATTTATCCCGCGTGCCATTCTTCGGCATGCACAACGTCAATCCAACCCCATCGCGCCCCCGCTTCCCGAAGCGTCTCCCACTGAATTCTGAGTTATTGGACCAAGACTCGTGCCCGCCGGAGCAGCTTGACGTTCGCACGGACTGGGCGAAGATTGAGAGACTCTTCAGCAAGGGAGAGAAATTTAAGCTAAAATCTGTACACCGCATTTCTCACAAATTGCTCAATTGACAAAAAATTGAAATTTTTATAAGTGCTGTAGTGAATAAAATCTATTTTAAATTATTCCTGTAAACTAGAAAAGCCAAGTGGAAAGTCACATCCCATTTTCACAGCATTAAATTTGCAATTATTCCATCATTTTTTTCATTTTTCGTAATTTTTATTCAAATATTGACCCATATTTTTGATTATTCCATTAAAATTTCAATTATGCTTTGATTATGCCTCTGATTATTAAGTTTAATCTTTAAAGACTTCCATTTGTATTTCATAATATCGGAAAGCTTAATTTTCGCGCTCAATTTCCTTCTTTCCTTGCCAGGATCACACTTAGGAAGTCATAAAGTATGAGAATGCATGAGAAAACCGAGAAAATGTGCGAAAAATGCAATATTATTAGCGTCCCCCACGCCAACATTGTTGCCCTCTGGCGGTGATATGTGGAGAAAATAATCAAAAATTTTAATTCTATTTAAATATAAAGAATATAAGCAGCAATAAAAGATGTGGCGCCAATTTGGTTGCAAAGAAGCTTCTGAGTGCTAAATAATGATGAATACTTTTACACTTTTTTGCTGATTTGTACACCACTTTCGCCCAAGTTTCGCCGCCCTGCTGTCACCCACTCCACGATTGGTGCTGCCATCCTCTCGGTGATCCAATCAATTTGCCGGCGCCTGTATCACAAGTTTATGGGTGGCAATGCTGCGCCTCCGTGGTCCGTGTCGCAACCTCCCCCGCAAGGCGAAGCATAAAATTTATGGGGTCGGTAATGACGACGCTCTCGTGGCGATAAAAGAAATAAACATTTGCCAAATTTCCCCGCCACCGAGGGCCACCCAGTGAATATTTCTCATGGGAGTCCCTCGGTCACTTTCCACCATTCGCACAATCTCATCGCATATTCGGTCATTTGCGCAACCCCATGACACACCAAATCCCATTGATCCTCACTTACGCTCCTTTTAACGCCACTGCAGACTCCATTGCCGTCCTCATTCACATGTGCTGAGTTGATGACTTTATAATTTCCGGAAATTAGCATACATAGACTTAACGACAAGTAATTGCAACAGTTGATTACCCGAGTGTAACTTCATAGCAAGTGTTCAGCATTCAGTGGCGGACATTAACTCCGGTTTTTGCTTTGATGCGATAATTTCTTTATAGAATTAATATAAGAAGATTCTTTTTTTTTGCTTGTAATTGATGCCCAACCATGACAACGGAGTGTTAGAGAAAGTGTTTCATCCAAATCCGTTCATTATACTTTTTTTTGCTGACAAGAATCCCATGGAAATGCTGAGAGTTGCCAAAGAATATCCAAAACGGCGGAGGGGAATTAATTTCAATACGGAGGCTTAGAATCTTAGACGGATATTAAAAAAAAATGCCTTGCTCTTTTCCTATTTAACATTCTCAAGTCAAATATATAGACATAGACACTCGAGAGAAAGGAATATTGAGACTCTTTTTCTGTTCTAAATTTCTTCTTTCATTCTCTTGTGCTCCCGCTGAAAATTACCCCATCGCGAATTAAGGGAGACTAATTAGGCAATCGCTCACAATCGGATTGGAGAGGAGATTTTGAGAGAAAAAAAGGAAACAGAGTGTGAATGTGAATCCTTTTTCCGTCCTGCACGCATTTTTCTGCAATATGTAATCGCATCGGCAGATTTGATGGGAAATCGATTGAGCTGAACTGTTGCGACAGCCATGAATTTCCCACCACCCGCCGCCCTCTCGTGTTTTATTTGATTGGAATGCTGTGTGCATACCTTTTGGCCGGTGAAAAATGTGGCGCCATCAACATAAAACGGCCGCTTGCGACCGTATTTTCGCTCAATATAGGTAAACTCTCCCCCGGCAATTTGCAACTGTCTTTGGCGATCTGCTAAATTGTCCCTCAATTTTTACACACTCTGGATCAATGTCCATTCACATATCCTCGTAATGCTCATCGTGCTTGCATTTTATGCAACACTTTACACACACTCAAACCATAAAGCCTGAACTGTGGCTATTAAATTGAAATTTCCCATGCTCATGAAAATTGTGCACAATTTCCCAATATTTGCAACATTTGCGCGAAATCCATGCGAATTTTGGGGGGGAGGCAGAAAAAAATGAATGGACGAAATTAGTTTTGCAGCACATTCTATTTAATATGTAAAGCCACTATTTATGCGGAGAGGCTCAACAATATAGCTGCCGCCCAACCACAATTGAAAAGATCGTAAATGGTTGAATTATTTGTCGGTATACTTTTATGAGCCCATCGCGACCGCATAATTAAAATCCAATTGTTACAAAACATAATTTGGAAAATATGAGAAATTTGTTGTTTGTTTGCTCTGCACATCAGCTGGGAATCATTTGGAGCATTCGCGTGGATTCAAAAAATGATCGCAATTTTATTCAACTGTCTATCGATTTGGAAAGCTCTTCTAGCATAAATTCCACGGCGATTTCCATTCAAATCCACCACCTGTTAGTACAGCCAAGGGGAAGATATCACGGTTAAAAGTACTGTACAGCTCATTAGAAGTATTTGGAAGTTGAAGTGCTTGAATCTTTTCAATATAGTGCGGTTTAAAGTTACTTTTCTAAGGAATTATCACAATAATTGCTGAAAAGAAAGCTTTTTACATGTTTTTAGGTTATGTTGTGAATTTAAGACGATCTTTGTCACGAAATAACCTTCAAATCATTCATTTGTTGTGCCTAAGCTTGTTTAATTTACATTTATTGGCACAATAAGGAATGAAATCTGATGAAGATCACAAGCTTTTAATGTTAAACTCTGTTAATTACGCTAGGATTGATCATAACTTCTAAAATATTGTTTCAGGATACAAAATTGTCTATTTCATGTGCTTTTTGATTGATTTTCTGCACTAAAATAGCAAATTTCAGCTTATTGTCGATTAATCTTGCATTTAAAACATCGCGAATAATTTTCTTTCAAGGATTTTTAAGGTTATGATCCAAAGAACATCCAAAAGAGCGTTTCAAAATTAAATCTAATCCAAATATCCACTGGAAATTTAAAATATTTCTTAAACACAGTTTTTCTGTAAGTTTTCAGAGTCGCACAAGTAAAAAAAAATGGCGTCTTTTTAGATTGCAGACTCCGAAATGTGAGGTTATGATGCTTCTATCTCTATAAAATCTCTACCATGTTCCGTTTGAGGAGAAAAATATAAGAAAAACTCACTTTTTTCGGCACTTCTAAGGTTCCAGAAGTGTCTGTGATCCTCCGCAGAAATTGTGTACACTGTTTAGCCATATTATTTCTCCCTTGAGTTCAGCTTCTGGGTAGAGTTTTTCCTCTAGTGATGACACTCACCGCGCAATCCAATTAATATATGCACAGTGTATTTGTCAATTGATAAGTTTGGCGTATCCTCTCTTGCAGATTCGATAATCCAGCCTCTGTGGCGACAACGCCAACTCGGCAACTAACTTACAATTACTTGGTATCGCTGAATCTCTGGCTTTTGCTGTTCCCCTGTGATTTATGCTGTGATTGGACGATGGGAACTGTACCGCTGGTGGAATCGTTTATGGATCCACGCAACATCGCCACAATATTGGCGTATTTGCTAATTGGTATTCTCGTTTGGATAGCGTTTATTAGTGAGAATCGCCAGCAAACTACAATTATTATCATGGTGAGTAAAGTCTGTGTGTGTATATGTAGCTAAAATGCTAAATAAGAGCCCTCAGTGTTACTCCGATGGGATGATGATATTTATTCATTTTAATTTTAACCACTCGCGTCGAACGCGAGAGATTCGTTTGGTTTGCATTGTGTGGAAAACCACACAGAAATAATACCAACATGAGAACTGCGAAATGCGGGAAGAAACCGTGAAAATGCAGATATGAATGCCTAATTAATGGCATTGAGTGTTTGTGGCTCCATTTATTGAATTTATTATGCTCATTCTCAGTGCAAAATAACACTCATATTAGCTTTTTCCATCAACTCCTCTAATTATGATGCATTTGAGAATATGTGCAATCAATCAATCAATTTGCGCCAATTCACATTTCGTCATCGAACTGGCAATTTTTCGTGATTTTCGGACGACATTCACGATATTTTTACATCTCACAAAGAGCTTTCCATTAGTGTTTAAATCAATCTCAATTTACACCTTAATCAGAACTTTATGGATGAAATTTTGCAATTTTTATATCCATCTTGTCCGACCTGCAAATGCAGTTCAATCTGACCCATTTTGTCAAATTAGTCGTTCAACATCCCCAAAACGACCCTTAGCTGTGAAGCTCTAATTGATCTGCACGTTTACAAGGTCTGTTTGTTCACCTCTCTTTGCAGGGATTATCACTGATGATTCTGCCTTTCCTGCCGGCGTCCAATCTCTTCTTCCCGGTGGGCTTCGTGATCGCCGAGCGCGTGCTGTACATGCCATCGATGGGCTTCTGTCTGCTGGTGGCGTACGGCTTTCACCACCTCACGCAGCGCTTCAGCAGAAAGGTGACGTGGATGTGCCTCACATTCCTCCTAATGACGCATGCAACCAAGACTTACATGCGCAACTGGGACTGGGAGACGGAGTACTCAATATTCATGTCGGGTCTGCGAGTAAATCAGCGGAATGCAAAATTATTCAATAATGTGGGACACGCGCTGGAGAGCGAGGAGCGCTACCGCGAGGCGCTCACGTTCTTCCACACGGCCGTGCAGGTGCAGGAGGACGACGTGGGCGCCCACATCAATGTGGGTCGCACATACAATCACCTGAAGATGTTCAAGGAGGCAGAGGAGGCGTATCTCAAGGCGAAGTCACTGCTGCCCAAGGCCAAGCCGGGTGAATCATATCAGGCACGCATTGCACCCAACCACTTGAACGTGTTCCTCAACCTGGCCAATCTGATCTCCAAGAATCACACGCGCCTCGAGGAGGCAGACATGCTGTATCGCCAGGCGATTAGCATGCGTGCTGATTACACACAGGCGTACATAAATCGCGGTGATATATTGATCAAGCTGAACAGGACCAAGGAGGCGCAGGAGGTGTACGAGCGAGCGCTGCTCTACGACAGCAGCAATCCGGACATTTATTACAACGTAAGTGACATTCTCACAATATGACCATCGCACACAGTGTGTCTCCTAATTAAATTTTAATTGCACCATCTCTCCAGACATTACTCACCTCTGTGCTGTTGCTCAGATGCCGCACAGCATCACACCATCGATGCCTTAACGGCCGTCGAGATGGTGTGCGGGAATTTGTACTGCGAAGCCCGATAAAAGAGTCCTTCTCCTCTCACGCTCAAGTGGAGGGAAAAAAGGCTCTCCTCAACCCCTTTCTCACCCACCCCAAGCCACGCTGATATATTTTGAATACTCTCCCCGGAATCACTATAGCAACGTCTTGTTAAGCATCACAAGTCCACTAACAAGAGATGAAGATTATTGGTATTTGTTCCTCTCCCATCCACTCCATATGAAAATTTTATCGCTAACATCCGCTCGTTTGCTGGAAAAAAGCCCGTGATTTGCGATGTTGGGCACCTGGGGATTTCCTTTCAGAAACACCAGATTTCGCTTTGGCTGCCATAGAATCGAAAGCAGAGAGCAGTTTATCTGCAAAATTGTAGCTGATATTGTGGAGTCAAGGAACATCTCCTTAAAGTTTATGTTATACAGAGAGAGAGAGATCAGGAGAAAATCTTTAATTCATACACAGTTCATTATTTATTTAATGAGATTTTGGATAAATCATAGGTCACATCATAAAGTAAACCTTTTGCCTGTGGAAAAGCATAGTTTCCAAGCCACTGTTGGCCACAATTCTGTGCTTTGCATCAAAGGGGAGAGATTTTAGGGTTCGAAGAGTGGTGTACAACTTTGCGAGAGTCTTAGGAAATGGAAATCAAGCATTTAAGATCATTAAACTGTGCTTTTCTGAACCATGTAACATAAATAACAAGGAAAAACAAGTCAATATTTAATAATTGATTTTTACTTTGTATGAAAAAAATGAAAAAATGATTTTTTTTCCATGTAAAAATGTTAAATAAATAAAAATAGAATATTTTCTACTAAATATTTAGATAAATAAAGTTATATTTAAATATATTCTGAATAGAAATGAGTTATTTTCTAGGAAATATAAACGGAACTTCTACACGTCTTTAGAGTTTAAACTGCTGCCCTCTGGTGGTAATTTATCTGAAATCGCTAGTGACTTTACCCTTATTAAGTAACATTGTAGAACAAAACCTCAAAAATCCTCTTTTTGTTAGTTTTAAATAGATTTTCACAGAAATATTGAATAGAAACTTAAGGAGATTCATTAAAACTCAAACAGCCGAATAATTTAACAAATCATGTCAAAGATTTGCAGAAAAAATTGTGTACGCAAATTGAAGCCACTTATCTCTGCCTTGTCTGAAATGTAGTTAAAGTTAAACACAACTATTATTCAATAGTGGGTTAATAGGAAAGTTTTTGGACAGATTCACTCGCATTTCCTACCGCTCAGGACAAACAATCTCTCTCTCTCTCTCTCTCTGTCTGTCTCTTTAGTTTGGAAAGCTTCAGGTTCTCTCGTGCGAAAACTAGTCCACAAACTGGCGGTGCTGTGTAAAAAGTCGCCTCTCCATCATTTTCTCCTCATCCACTCCCCCGTCCAGCCCCCGATGGAACAATTTCATTATGTTTTGAGGATTATCGTCCGCCCACCAGTGCTTCCTTCCGGTGTTTCTTTTGTACGCGCTCTGGATGGCTGGGATGGCGATGAGGGGCATAAAAAAATTAATTTCCTCCTCCATCCAATGGCAGAGAGATGTAACTGAAAGATGGGAAGTTGTAAGACAGCGCACACACATACATTTATTCACACGAATGGTAAAAGATGAGAAATTGTACTTGGGCAAAAAAGGCGACTTGCGAGGAGAAATGACGTACAATAATGAGCTTAAAAGCTTTACTATTTTTTTTCGTTTATATAGGCAAGAATGTACATCCAGAGTTGGATTATTTTTTGCCTCACGAGATGCGACCAATCGAGTTTATTGTTCCCTCAATAATCAATCAAGATTAGGTTCTCGCTCTTTCTCTCTCTCTCTGTGCCATATAATGTTACTTGCGAGCCTTGCGAGCATTTTGGGGGTATTTTTGAGGAAAATATTCCACACATATCCAGCAGAAAGTGGCATAAAAGGTCCCGCACTTGGCGCTAGAAGAGGAAATGTGTGTGTGAGAGGAAAAGTGTGACAGAAGGAAGTCTGGGAATATTCGTGACATTATAGGAGAGAAAGTAAATTGAAATGGCTTTCTCGCGGACGGCACAAGATGTTGTAATCCTCTTCGTGCCTTAGATGATGGGGATAAAAAAGCGGAGCACCCAATAAATAGGGGAGTGCTGGGGGGATAATAAAACGTGAAAAGTACAATTTCATGTTCTTGTCTATCAATTGGATGGCACAAGGATGAGCGCAAGAGCCTTTCTGCACAGTGCAGAATGTGAGACGTCAAATGGATGAAAGAAATCAATGCACATATGTGCCTTTGCGATGAGGCGCCAAAGAGACGAGCAGAAAGGTGGAACTTGTTGAAAATTAATTAAGCACTAATTGCATCCTCTCAGCAGAGACAGTTTAATTGAAAATTGAACTGCTCAGAAGGATCAGAATCACCAATTTCCTTTAAGGGGCTTCACGAGAAATTCATCAACGGGAGATCAGAAATGTAGGTTATACAAAGGGAAATTGCACGGCTGTTTCAATATATCGCACTGTGGCTTGACAATTTCAACACACCTTGAGAAATTATTTAATTTCTATTGAGAATTTCGTGGAAATCTCAATCGTAGACATTTCATGCGCTTCCTGACAATTGTATTCTCAAATTTATGATGTGAAGGAAAGTGTTGACAACTCCTTTTCAGCACACACAATGACGAGGGGTGAAAGGGTCAAAAGTATATTTTATATTATGTTGGCGCCAAGTGAAAATTGTCTGTTAATTTTTATAGACGCATTGGATTTATTATGCCTCTCTGGGAGAGTGTTTTCAATTAAGTTTTATTATTTTACGTATGAAGCACATAATGTTACTGTGAGAACGTGATGCAGCAATGGTCCGACGAATTTTCTCAGTCGTTGGCAAATTGTAAATACGGCAAAGGGGCGGCAGTGGGTGGAAAGTGGTCTGCTTTTTCCCACACACTCACAGACACACAAACATTCCGCCTGTGCGGAAAGCCATCCGACACACACAATTTTCCTCGAGTGAGTGAGAGAAAGTGTGGGAATGATAATACAAAATGGGTCACATATATACACAATTATATTGAGAAATGCGAGCTTCGAAAGCTTCTTCCTCACCATATATATAGTATATTGTTCGTTTGCTTGTTCTTATCCGAGTTCCTCTTCCGGCAGAGCGACAAACACTGGATGGGAATGCCAGAGTGTTTGAGAAGCTGAAGAATTTTCGGGACATTCACACTCTTCCTGCTATTTTTCATTATTTTCACCCCAGTCGAATGATAATTCCACTTGACATAGAGTGAAAGTTTATACCACTCAATATGTGTGTGTATTATTCTTTCGCCAAGTGGGTGGTTCATTGCAAATAAAATAGACAATTTATCGTGTCAACAATTGTGGATTTACCGCGCTTTTCTCTCCACTTCTTCCTCATTTTCACACATTTTTTTATCGCTTTCCATTTGCTGCTCTTTCACCGCACCATGACAACAATTATCAGAGAAAAAAAGTCAAGTATTCTATGTTTTCAATTAAAATATGGTTAATGACACGGCAAAGAACAGAGAGTGTTGCCTTGTTGAGGTTGAATTAATTGAATGTTGCGTGGAAAGTTTTCCAATAAAAGCCAAATCTAATTTCAAAGTCACCTTCTTGCAGAATTCTACACTTGTATTGATTAAATCGCTGTGTCGTTGGGGAAGGCGAAATGAGCACTATATGCTTGCAGACTTAATTATTGTCGCTTGCACTATGGAAACCATGTCAATTTGTCCTCGACGGTTTTCATCATTCCGTCGTAGATTGCTCGCTAATTTTTCCCCACGCGGTGCTCCATCACGGTTGGGAATAAGGTAGTAAAGTGCAGTGTATTGTTCCCCATTTCGTGCACTCGGAACGGAATGCCAGAAGTACGACTGAGGGATATGTAGATATAGGAGTGCCATAAATATCCTAGACGTGGAGAATTAAGTTTAAATGTATGTAATGTCTCGTGTTGTAGGGAAAGCAGACAGGGGGTGGCGATGCTGAGGAGTGAATGGTGTGTACGTGTACATAATCACCTCTGTCTCAATGGAGGATCGTTGTTAAGAGAGCACATATAATTACATACAGTGCTAAATTTACCATGCACCACATTTCCCACCCACCCACACATTTCACCCGCGCGCCCTTCCAACCCTCGCTGGAGCGTCCTGGAGAGCGCTCGACGGTGTGCGGAGAAGATGCAGAATATTTGCCACCACACAGCCCGCTCTATCTATAAATGCTCCCCCAATATTAAGCTCTCGCCACGAGTGTTGTTACATTACACTCTCTCTCGCTCAGCTTTCATGCATTTTTTACCAGAGACACTAAACACTCATTAGAAAAACTAGAGCACTTACAGCAATGCAAGCAGCTTCAGGTGATATATTCTCCACAGCACGCTTTTTAGTGCTCCTCATGGCGCACTAACTACCACTAGATATTCGCAGTAAAGTCACATTGGAGCGAAAGAATTTGCCAAGCTGCCAATTTTTCCACTCACTTTGATCAGAAGGAGTATTTCGTCAGCGAGAGAGAAATAGAGCTTTTATTGGCAACTCTTGTGTTGCTGAAGATGACCAATTTCTACACTAATCGCCGTGTAGTTTGCCAACTCTGGCCAGCCATAAAGGACTCGAGAGCCTCCTTTCGTCGGGCATTAGAGCAGGGCGAGGTGGAATTGGTAGATGGAGCGAACATGAGCGAGTCGCTTTACTTGCGACGGGGAGAAGTCTGTGAATGTGTTGCTCAGCGATAATTTGTCGTTTCGATAATTTATCGGTTGAATTATGTGCAATGCACACACACACTGGGGGTTTTGTCCGAGAAATTGATATTAATACACGTCCATAATTGGAAATGTGGGATGTAATCGCACGGCGAATAAATCACAAATTAATGGCGGAAGGAGAGGAAAATCCGTAATTTCAAATAATCCCGCGCACATCTCGGTTGAAAATTTGATATCAAAATGGATTATTTCTTCTTCCGCGGGAGAATTGTGGTGCATCAAACTGTGTGGCGACAGGTTTTCGTGCGCACATATTGCAAAGCACAAGTTTTTCCTGACGCGACATCGCCCAGAGTGAAGAAAAATGAAATTGTTGCGGAGAATTGGCTGCAATATGTTGTGCAATCGTATGTGTGCTTGTGTGTGTGATTTTGGGAAAGCTGGACAAAACAGGAATCGCATTCTAAATTGCCAACTTCAATTGGAAAGGAGCAAGTCTTCTCCCACCACCCCTCTTTGGATTCCATCGTCAATTTGTTGGGGAGAGTTTACTACACAACTTTACAACACTGCATCCAAATAAATAATACAAAATAATGTCACTGGCTGAACATATGTAGCAATGTCACTTTTTCCGCACACACAAATACACTAAGAGAAAGCGGAAAATTGCGACAGCATGAAGAGGAGTATTTTCTGGGAGATGTTTATAATAGGTTGAGATGGAGTTAAAAGCAATTTCCACATCGCTAGATTGTGATTTCTCAATAACAATTATGCCTTTTTCTCTCTTCCTTGTCTGCACAACAGTTGGGCGTTGTATTCCTGGAGCAGGGAAAGGCATCACAGGCCCTGGCGTATTTAGATAAAGCCCTCGAATTCGATCCAGAGCACGAGCAAGCACTACTTAATTCAGCCATCCTGCTGCAGGAGTTGGGACGTGTCGAACTACGGAAGATTGCACGTGAACGACTCTTGAAACTTTTAGTCATTGACGGTTTGTACACTCTTTCCCACAATTCAACCCTTGATTCAACCCTCATGACCTTTCTCTCTTCAGCAGGAAAATGCACTGATAGCAAGTTTCTGAACTTGATCTCTTTCCTAAATTTGCTATTGAATTTAAAGAAAAAAAGGGGGGAAAATGCAAAATTCATTCAGTTTTTCAATGTAAATCATACCAGAAAATTCTCACGAGATTGTTTTCTTCTCAACATTGGCATTGAATACTTATCCAAATTCCTAATTCCATGAATTTTGAATTATATACTCCTTCAGCACGCTCGTTTTCCTTATATTTTTCTTCCCATGGTGTAAACTTTGCGTTGGCGAAGCGGGAGCAAATTGCAAAGCTGAATTTATTTTGTTGGGCGCCCAAACTTAAGAATCCAATAAATCTCTTCAAAGCCTCCACCCTCGCCACGTGCCCACACCCCCCCACATTGCGTCTCCCGGCCAGAGAGTGGAAACACTCATGAGCAAGGAGCTGATAATACAATTAATCGCATTAGAGGAATTACTCCTGCAGCTTTTAATTCAATTTCCACAGCATTTTCCCCTGAGAGAGAGAATTTGGCCATGTAATGATAAGCGACGCTGAGAAATTGTGTGTCTGTGTGTGTGTGTTTTCTACTAACGAATAATATGTATCTTTCTCATCCGACAAACAGATAAAAATGATCGTGTCTTCTTCAATTTGGGCATGCTGGCGATGGACGATAGGAATATTGAGGAGGCGGAAAATTGGTTTAGACGAGCAGTTCATCTCAAGCATGACTTTCGGAGTGCTCTGTTCAATTTGGCCCTCCTCCTGGCCGACGATCATCGGCCCCTCGAGGCGGCGCCCTTCCTCAATCAGCTCGTTAAATACCATCCAGACCATATCAAAGGATTAATCCTCCTCGGTGATATCTACATCAACAACATCAAGGATCTGGACGCTGCAGAAAATGTAATCAGCCTTCCTTCTAATTCTAATTATCGTCAATTTGCCCTCGAATCCCCACATGTACTACCAGAACACACGCCATGCCCTCTAATCCAATTTTGTGCCTCTTTTCCCCGAGAAACACACTCGCCGTGTTTGCACTGCGTTTCACACTGGCACATCCCCATCGCCCCTGAAGGCGATTTCCGCCCTTTCAATCTCTCCCAGACCAACCAGTTGCTAGCCGGCAACACGCTCCAAGTTCGCGGAAAAGTTTCCCATTTACAATAATCGCGATTTGTTTTCCCATCTATTTGCCTTGCCTCAACCCGTGCGCATCCTTCGCATGTGGGGCCCCAGCAGAAGTCGTCCCTCGGCACACTTTCTCAGTGGAAAACACTGATGTGCAGAGAATGTTTTGTAAACATCACAATGTTTTCCCATCTGCACTTTTCATCGATAAAGCCTGACCCAGAGTCGCCACACACTAATCATTTTGCCAAAATGCATTCAATCTCCCAGTGTTGATAAGCAGCCCAGGAATTTGCTGTGGCTCAGCAACTTGTCTCATGAAGACAAATATTATTCATGCACAGCTACTGACAATCTGTCGAGATGCGTTAGATTCGTAACCGATGCTTTGTCTCCTTATCGCAGTGCTACAAGCAAATCCTGCAATTGGACCCAGTCAACATTCAAGGGCTGCACAATCTCTGTGTGGTGTACGTTGAGCGCGGGAAGTTGCTGCAGGCGCAAGCGTGTCTCAAGCACGCCCATCGCCTGGCGCCCACGGAGGACTACATCCTGCGCCATCTGCAGATCATTCAGTCGCGCGTGCTGCGCCTGAAGCAGTCTCCGGGCGCTGAGAAGGAGCGCGAGCTGGCGTTCAGTGGCTTCGATCCGCGCGAGTTCGGCGGCGATTCGAAGCTGCCCGAGGACGAGGAAGTGGCGGATGTGACGAACAACGTGCTGGGCATGGAGTCGAGCATGGGTCAGAGCCTGGGCGGCATCGGGCGCAGCAAAGTGGTGCTCATCGACAAGGATCTGATCAGTGAGTCGAAGACAAAGGCGAAGCCCCTCGTCAGCAACACAAAGTATCAAACTGTCAACAGCAAGGGTTGATTGCACTCTTGTCGCCTCCTGCGCACCGCTGCAAGCGACTGCGGCAGGAGTTTAGCTTTCAATCGGAGCTGTGGAATATTACTTTTCTAACTTGCAACACGACGACTTGGCTGCAAAAGCGACAAGTCGACGGACGGTGATTTTGTATTGACATAAGGTAAGAATTTGTACAAGCTATCGATTAATAGACTTAAGGCTTTCGTCGGTTAATTATTATAGTAGAAAGTGTAGGCAGAGTGACAAGAGGGATGTGGGTTAAAGAGAATGCATAAATGAAGCTTTCTGATGGAAAAGTTTCAACCCCAAAAGAAAAACCGAGACCACTTAAAACTCTATCAAGAAGAAATATGATATATTTTTTCAAATATAGCATTCATTTGATTCCGGGAACCATCAGAAATCAGAATCCCAATGATTTCCTTCGAAACAATCTTTAAAGCTCATTCCTAATTTTAGGAGAAGCAACAAAGAAAGAAAAATAACCGCAAGACAGGACGATGACAATCCGCTCAATATATTTAGTGGCAATTAATATGGACGCAAAATAACATCAATTTTCCACACAATTTTCTTTCCCACCTGTATTTAATCACGCAAATACAGAATTATTAAATTACTGTAATTGAAACCTGATGGAAAAAAACACTCCCATTTCACTGGACGCTGAGTGACAAAAGTGGATTATATTCACATATGAAAAGTGCATGTTGGATAATTTGTATCCATTAAAGCGCCCATTTTCCACCCTTAACAATTGTCAATCACATTTGGTTGAATTACAAAGAGAAATTAGTGGAAAACTACAATATTTTTTCAACAGTTAAAAGGCGATAAATTCATGAAAGAGACAAATTTCAGCACTTTTTCTCACAGTGTTGAAAAAAAAGCGCCAAAAGTATTTTTCATCCCTAACCGAAAAAGAAAAATATCAATTCCACTGAAAAAAATATATCTTCTCAATGCTTACAATATCGCGGATGAAGAAAGCCACTGAAATGTGAATAAAATTTTGAGTATCTCCCCTTTTATGGCGCACTTTTACGCGAAATCGATACCGTTCAAGGGAAGAGAGGTGGTTTCGAATCGACAGCCATCTCAATTACTGGGGATAGGAAAATCCACACTTTGAACTCGGCGAATTAATCCTTGGGACGCGATGGCGAAAAGTGGATTATACTTTTACACACCCAGAGATAAACTCGATTATGAACGCGATGAAGGCTTCATTGATATGGGATTACGCATGGTTTATGTGACAAAAAGGATCGTTTTTTTGTTCATTCATTTGGTGCCCAATTCTTGGGCTGCGCGTATCGAAAAAAAAACTCATGCACACAGAGTTTGGATGCAGAGATGATATTAAATTAAATGGAAAAGAATCTAAAAAGACTGTTTTCTCGTGAGAAAAGTGAAAAAAAAAGATCTATAAAAATATATATATTTTAATAGGAAATGAGACCTATTTAGTGGATAAGACGTAGAAGAAGAGAGAAATTGTGTGAATGAAAAATTGTGCGTATTACTTAATAGCTGGATAACGTTACATGATGAATAGAAAACCCTCATTATATATAGAGAAGTAGTTTAGCAAAATATTAAATGTTCTTTTGTCCGTTGTACGTTAAATGGAATCCAATTGATGACCTGATAAAAGAAATTTATTCCTTTGACAAATGACAGATAATTTTTACACACTTGTCATGAAGCTTTAGGAAAATGACAGAGTGTTGTTGAAATGAAAGTGATAAAACACATTTTTCGATCTCATTTTTAGGATAATTTTTTCACCACCTCTTAAAATGACTTTATTTCACTTAAAACGTTTCGATAGAAAAATTTGCAAAATTAAAATTTAACTCAATTCCATTTCTCTTCCTTCAAATCCTCATTTCATTCTCCTTCAGTGAGTCCTCACCATGAAGGACATAATTGAGTGGAAAGTGCTTCCAAGTGATCTATTATTAATAGAATTTAACCGATAGAGAGAAAGCTTATATCTTGGAATTTTTCCTCAGCAGCTTTCCACTCAATATTGTAATTCATCTCTAAAATTGTGTGTCAGCGAAAGAGAAAAAGAGAGAGAGAGAGTTTAAATACTGTGGAATTAAATACGAATTGCACTCGTCTCCATAAGTCAATTTGGTCCATTTGCATGGATGCCAAGAAGTCCAGGGGGAAGGAATTTTTGCCACCCGCGCTGTAGTTTGGAAAAGTGCTCGGAGGAAATTGATGAAAAAGCACAAGGGGAGAGAAGTGGTGGCCATTGGACCATGATAAACACTGAGTAAATATTTATACGCTTTGAAAAATCATTATTTCTCACTACACACACCCTCCGGTCGTTCGCTACATCAATTCCACACCAGGCGCCCCCATCCAGTTGGCCGGAGAGGAATTGCACGGGGGCGCCCATTTGGTATCATTAATTTGAAAGTTGTGATACAGCATAGGAGAGGTGGGGGCCAGGTGGGGAATAAAAAGGGGTGAAAGTGCTAATTGAAAGCAATTGGACAGTTCGTGGCAAAAGCATTCCAATTAACCCTACTTAAAAGCTTTCCTGGGTGTGAAAATTTATCTACAACTGCTATTTTCTGTTCATTAACCGGAAAAAACACCTAGAAAGTTAGGTTAGTTTCCAAAAACTGTCCTGAAAGTGGGTTAAATGAGACTCATTCAGGCTTTGAGTACAATTTTCACTACTTATCATTAGTTTTTACAAAGAAATCTTTCCTTCGAGCCAAATTATCTCACCCTTTCTGCAGTTTTAATTAAAGTCTGCGTGTAACCACGCTTTCCCCTACACGTGGAGAAGTGTTGCTGTGAAACCTTTCTGTCCGTGAGTGGGAAAAATATTAGTTGTAGAGCATATAGTGTGTGCTTATGATTTTACGTCTCAGACTGCCTCTTTCTCGCATTTTCCACTAAATTATCCGGCGATGGCAAAGAAATTTCTCCCGCTGGCGTCTTGCAGAGGGAAAAAAGTCCTTTTTCACCCTCTCGTCGAAGGCTTTTTGCTCCATTCTTCGCGTCATCCTGCGCGCAAGTTGTGGCAATAATTAACAGATTTCCCACCCTCACGCGCGCGCCAGCAATATGTATAGTGGTGGGAAAAATTGCCGCCTCGAGGCAGCACCATGTGATTAATTAAAGTATTAGCAGCAACTATATTTATGCTTATTTCATCAACAACTCCTTTGTGGTGAATTGATGTGGCAAAAGAGTGAAAAAGTTTCGAGACTTGGCGCGAGTTCTTGCGGCGCTGCGGCTTTAAAGTTTTCCACCCTCTCGACTATATATACACTTTTTATTATTTATTACATGAATTATGGCATCAGGTGTTGGCCGCTGGCTGAATTTTTTTCCCATCTCCAGACAGCGCACCGCCCACAAAAGCTCGCCCACTTTTCCATAGCCATAATCGGAAATTTCAACTCCCGCGGATAATTGATTTCCTGACCATATTGATATTCATCTACCATCAGTGGAACAATTAAGGAGAATTATGGGCGTGCGGAGAGCGAACAAAATCGATTCGGATGAAAGTAAGAGCTTAGTTTGGCGAGGGAGAAGTGACTACACAATGGCTCCCAATATTGCGCCAATTAATAAACACACCGGCGGAAAAATCACTCCTCGATGGAGAAAAGCTTCCTCGTTCAGCCCACCAATCAATAATGAGAGTTATAATTATAGAGTCCATTTTGCCTGGCACTTTAGCAAATTGTGCCTACAAGAAGTCCTTCGAGATTAGCCATCGCAGGTTGATCAGCCAATATTCTTTTTTCCATAGCATTTCAAGTCTCATCACGACGACACTTGCAAGAAGTGCATTTTCTTCCCCTCTTATGCTGAACTTTGCAAAATTTCCTCAACAAATTCTCACAAAGTGACATTTTTAGCCATTTATATTCCTTCATCGTGTATTTTCATCCCTCCACACCGACGCTCAAGTGGTTAATTCTCCCTGGTGACGTCTTAGCAATTGTCAGCACTTTTTCCCGCCATTTCGCAGAATAGAAAGTGCTTTTCTGCACTTCCTCTCTCGGAACTCAACATCGTGCACGCATAATTTACACACCTTCAGCTGTCTCTCATGGAGATTGTCGTAACATGGCATGTCACTTAATGCAGACACGCTTTATTGTGCCAGAATTTAAGACAGGTGTGAAATGGGACAATTTTGTGTCCTCAAAGAGCACACAATCACTCTCTCTCCTGGTCTGATTGGCTATGACGAACTCTTGTGTTGTGGAGGAAAAAGAGAAAATCTCTAGCTGCCAATCGCGCGAAGGGAGGAAAAGCGAAATGTGTACAATTTTAGAGAACACTCGCAAAAGTGGGGATTATTCATACGTGAAGCGAACACTTATTCTGCACTTAGAAAGTCATTATCGTGACTCTCATCCCTTCACTTGGGCCACAAAATCACCCTCGAGAGTTCGCACTGATAAATCCCAATATACAGATTCGTCGTACAATTGATGAAGCACTGCGAATGGATTCACACAGCCTCCAAATGGCGCCGTCATTTACCGTGCAGAACTGTTGAGACACAACTCTTCTGGTCCACAATTAAATCAAACAATCACTACAGCGTAATTCGTACTTTCTTCCACCTCTTCTTATTGCCATGAGCGACACAACAGACTCTCTCTCTTCGCTAAATGGAAAATAATTAAAATTATCCAGAAGCACAATTTACAATCCTTTTGACTTGGCATTTAAATAATACTTCCTCGTAATGTCTAACAATGACTACATATATTTAACCAAGAAGTAATCTCCATTCCTCCTCTAATTAGACTCTCTAAAAGTAATCACATTTCATAGGAAATATACTCCTGAAAACCTCACATCTCGTATCCAATCATCCAATCTCTCTCATCTCATCCCCTTTAATGTTTTTCAATGCTACATAAGTGTTATTTGTCAGCATAGTAAGTGAAAGAACAAATCCTACACAATGCACTCAATATTAAGTGGATGCAACTTTTTACCTGCATATTTATAAACGTTACGAGAAAACTGATGATAAAACTCTGTATATGTCTAAAAACATGAGAAAAATTCCCCTAACATTATAATGTAATAGATTTTTTACATAACACAAACAATTCACTGTAAATCAATTGATCTTCAGCGTCTACCATATTTTGGCCAAAAACATGACGTGTTATAATGAGAAAAAAATTTTTTATACTGTCTGCGAAATGATTAAAAGATACTCAATTAAAAAAACAACCAGTAATTAAAAAAAATGAATCTAATGTAAAACGATAAAAGAAAACCTTTGAATGAAAAACTGATTAAACTGAATAAGAAGTAAAATGTAAGGTTAATAAAATATTCGTGTTTTAAAGATGAGAAGAAAAATAAGGTATAATATTTATATATACAATAAATATAATGAGAAAAGATTAAAAAGTCACATAAAAAGATGAAAAAAAAATTGTTAGTAATTGTTGTACTAAGTCTTATGATCGCTCCGTGTTTTAGGGTTTTTTCTAAGAAAAGTCGAAAGTGAAGAAAGTGAGATGAAATGTACTTTCCTGAGTTGATAAACAATTAATATATATTTTGCTTCTTAACCATCCCCTTAAATGAAGAGCATGGAAAATGCTATTAAACCAGCTAATTGTATTACTTAGTTCCCCGAATCTTTGACATCAATGTTACACAGTGTATCATAGTTTTAACGGCATACTTATACATATGCTATACAATATGCGCAATTCCATTCACAGACGAAAAGCATCTCTTGTAGTGGATTGGAAAGCGAGCGAAAGTAGGCAGAAAAATCAATTAGTTTTAAACCCAAAATTCTATATAGAAGAATATAATGTGATTAGTGGATGAAGGAAGCATTGAAGACGATGTAATTTATTGAGCAGAGAACAATTTGTAGATGCTTTGGAGCCTTCCTTGGTCACCATTATATCTCCCCACCCTGTTGGCGAGCATATATTGGCTTGAATGTGCGACACAAATCGTCTCACAATCTTATAGATTCTCAGTTCATCGTAGAATGGTGCCCAGAAAAATTCCAAAATATCTCCACACACACACACACACAATGGATCCCAAGAAAGAGAAGAGAATTAAGGTGTACATATTAATGTGCCTTGTACAAAGTAAAAGGAGATGAGTCGGAAGGAGTAAATTAATGATAATGAATGTGCATATTAGGAGCACATCGTATGAGTTTATATGACGATGGAAAGACAAGAAAAAAAATATTTTATAACGATTATGAAACATATTTTTCTATGTTCAAATTATAAACACGAAAGTGAAAGAAGAAGAAAAAGAAGAAGAGAAAAAAATGAGAAATTGATAAATGAAGATCGACAAAATATTATATACTCTGATGATGAAATAAATACATAGAAAAAAGAATGATTTTCATTGTTTTCCTGCAACCCCTTTTAAGTGAAATTTCCACCTAAAGATCTTTTCATCAGGAATATGAAAAGCTTCCGCTGTGTGACCATTTAATCCTCTCTTCTATCAATTCCACTTAAAATTCAGTTGGAGAAAGTTTCGCCTCTCGTCGTGAGGGAAAAAGAGCTTCGACTCATTTCCAGTGGCGCTCACACTATTCACCTCAATGGCTGGGCAACATTGACACAAGTTCCCCA